TGAACCATCATGAAAAGTAACGCTTGGAATTTTAACTAAATGATAAAATTAAGTGTGCGCAAAGACATGAAATCTGTTTCAGGAAAAGCTGCATATCTTAAGGAATTTATGTTACCATTATTTTATGTGGTTATGAATCTTGCAACAGTATAAATTATAAATTTAGTATACTTGGTATGTATGATTGCACTGTAGCTAAATCTGCTATATATATTTTGTCATCAATACAATTTTGTGTGAACTATAGTCTATAGCTAGATTTGTTGTCGCCAACCAAAACAGTCAGCATGTTTCTCTGTCGGTATATTTCTTTAAATATATATATATATATATATATACTGTATTAGTAGCATCAGACAATTTCCCCAAAATTACCTTGAGTAGCAGAAATAGCGAGTTGCTATCTAAAAAGTTGTGAGATTGACTGAAAAATCGCGAGACTTAGAAATTTTCAGGTTTGCTCATTAATATGACCAGGGTTAACTTTAACAATGCTAGAAAATAATCAATAGATGTTCAATTTTATGATAGTATGCATTTATATTTTGTTAATATAACCGTAAATGCAAGGCTTATTAAAAATAGGCTGTTTTTTCTTTATGGCTTTAGTAGTTTCCAATGTACGGCAAAAACAAGAAAACTACGAGTAATATTAGGACTAACAGGACAATAAACTTAGCAGGACACGCCTTTTCCTTTGTAACACAAACATCAGGCATACAAAATTCTGGCGTTGTACATTGTGCATTCAGAGGCGCATTATTAACACACTAATAAACTGTGATGTTTCCTTAGAAGAGTGTGCCTTATTGTAACTAGATGTTCCGCTCTTCGATGATTTCATCAGTTCGAAAATCGTGAGATTTGGGGACTTAATTGTGAGATCGTGAGAAAGCATAAAAAATTGTGAGACTTGGCAAGTCTGTGATGAAGAAACACAAATTTAGGCGAAAAACACGAATTTAGGCGTTCCATCATATGAAAGATAAAGTATACAGGAGCGAATTAAATATTGCGGCACAGGCTAGCGCTATTCAAAGGCAGTTGATAGTTCCAATTGTTATTTGACAGCTAAATAAAATTATCACAATCGTTCCTTTTAAATATTGAAGTTTATTAAACCTAGCGATTGATACACCGGGTGGAAAGCGTAATTTAAAAATGAAAATTAAAGCCCAGCAAATGACTTTCAGACAAGACATAACAAAATATAAAATTTATTGGCTAACGTTTCGTTGTATTGTTCACAACATCTTCAGAGCAATTAAACTTATTTACAAGCGTGTATTATATATATACAAATAGTTTCAAACGGTTACAGTATTCAAATAAGCGAATAAGAGGAAGGATGAAAAACAACCTGTCATTAAAAGCATTAGTATTAGTAAATTAAAGAAATAATGGTTAGTAATTAGAGACCTAGCAAAGCATTAGAAAAGGTCAAGAGGAGTTGACCTAATGTTAGCATTTAAAGTAGGATTAAGCTTGGATATGAAAAGGCTTTCGCGAATGAGTAAATCTGCTTCAGAACTAGCAGTGGAAAGGATTTTAAAATCAGAGGGTGAAATTTGATGTTTAGTGGTATAGATATGAGCGAGTATGCCTGACATGGTTGAAACAGAACGTTTCTTTCCAGTCAAAGGTGAAACACCCATGTGTTCAGAGATACGCGTGTGTATGTGTCGGCGAGTTTGACCAACATACAATGCACTACAGCATTGACACTTATACAAATACACCACATGTGATCTCAGTTCACCGGGAATTTTGTCCTTAAATGGAAAGAAATTGGAAAGACGGAAAGAAGGACGAAAGATGACACGTAAAGAAAAAGATAAACGTCTTTGTCCATGACTGGGAGTTATGTCATTTCTTTCAACTACCTACTGTCAGTATCGATGAAATGGTTGAAGATGCATAATACGTCCAAACTTTCATAATGAATAATGGTCCGAAATGTCGCAGTCCACTCTCAAGAGCATTTGATCCCATTGATCTTAACATTGACCCCTGCCTCTATCTTGACAAAGTCTTATTGTCAAGTATCACCACGAGACTGAGCATCATGAAATGGGTGTGAACTTTACGATCAACCATCTAAGAGAGAAGTACTTAGTCCTGCACACATGTCAAGAGGTCAAACATTGTGTGAGTAGTTGTGCCAAGTGTTCTTGACGTTTTAGATTACGGCCGAAAACACAACAAATGGCGCCAATGCCGGACATTCGTCTGGAAATGACTGGCAGGCCGTTCGAAAACTGTGCAACCTGATTATGGAGGACCTTATTTTACAAAACAAGGACCGGGGAAAGGTTAGAGCAAAACGATATCTGTGTCTTTCTGTATGTCTTCAGACTCACTGCTGTCATCTAGAAATGGCTTCGTCACTTGGCGTCAGTGGATTTATGAATGCATTTGTAAGGATGACTGCCCGACATGGATGGCCAAAGAAGATGTTAAGTGACAACAGGACGAATTTTGTTGCGGCAGAGAAAGAAATATGTGCATTAGTTGAACAACTAGACCAGAAGCAAATAGAGAGAGCAACTGCGAATAAAGGCATTACATGGTATTGGAATCTGCCCGCAGCACCACACTTTGGCGGGGTGTTTGAGAGTATGATAAATCAGCCAAACGAGCAATTGCTGCAGTTTTGCCAAACGCGGACGTCAATGATGAGGAATTACAAACGGTTTTCACTGGTGTTGAAAGTCTACTAAATTCTCGACCATTGACAATGATGAGTGATGATCCTAATGACGAACTTGTACTTACACCAAACCATTTTCTCATAGGACAAATGGGAGGAAATATTGTTCCCAAGAACATAGATATGACATTATTCAATGCCAAGAGACGGATCCAAGAGTTAGTGCGACACACATGGAGATGATGGATGAAAGAATATCTTCCACACACTGGATCTTGAAAGAAATGGTTTTTACGAACAAAGAATTTGAACAAAGGTGATGTTGTAGTAATTGATCCAGATGCGGCGAGACTAGAGTGGAAAGTTGGGTGAATAGAACAGGTTTATCCTGGAAATGATTGACTGGTTCGGGCTTTTGATGTTAAAGTTGGTGGACGAGTGTTGATGTGACCAATAACACGGGTATCTCTGTTAGAAATGTAATCGGACAAGAAACTTATAAACTGACTGTTCATAATGAGTTGTGTAATTACTGAGCTTATGAATTTCGAACTGCATTTCTCTCAAGTCGGGAGGGGGAAATGTTTGATAGAGATGCTATATTTGACATTACATGAAGTGTTACAAAATATCTGTTTGTCTGTAATGTTTTCGTGTGATTTTCTGTAAAAGTAAATAAAAGTTTTGTCTGTTTTTATGTGTAAAATATCGACAAAATCGAAGAAACAGGAAGAAAACAGGCATGACCAACTGCTGTGTAGTTCTAGGCAATACATCCCCTAATGGAAGAGATTCACTTTAAGTATAGCCCCACACAAGCTTCACTACTTGCCTATATGCCCTAAGAAACCTTTCAAAAAGAAAATTTATATATTAACATTTAAAATTTTAAAATTTAGTAATCCAAAAACTATCACGTTGTCGTGAATTTAATATATTAACATTAATATTATAATTTATATTGACATTAACTAAGTAATTAAAAAACTGTTTAGGTAAGCACTTTGGTTTTTAGGCTGTAAACAGAGAGATGAGGCGTGTTAAAATACATTTTAAAACTGGTTTATTTGTGTGGTCTTTTCATACTACATTCCCCACACAAAGGTGGCGACCCCTGCAGGACGTATCTAAACTTTACTTAACATGGAAACTTGTAAGTGATCGAGATTTATTGAACTTTAGCGGGAAATATATTGGCAGCGACATCAGAGCAATTTGGAAACGAAAATAAACGATACACACACACATTAATTACAAGTATAGTGGAGCTCAAAATATCACCGAAAATATCGAGGACGAAGTGATCAACAAGTGGAGTAAAGAACAAGAAAGTGCATTGCAACATTTTGAGCATATGCTGGCGAACTAGATAACATTTTATCCTTGACTGAGCAAGAAAAGGCGGCGAGAAAACAACAGGAAATTGACAAGCGAGAGGCGGAGAAGCAACTTCGAATTTTGGATGAAAAAGACAAGCGAAAGGCTTAATGAAAGAAAATTGGACGAGAAACTAGAATTAAAACGTTTAGAACAGTTTAAAAAGGAGGAACAAACTGCTAAATTACCCAAGCTAACGATAACACCATTCAAAGGTACGTGTTTAGACTGGTTTCGCTTTTGGGAACAATTTGAGGCGGAAGTAAATAGGACAAATATGTCGGCAATTTCAAAGTTTTCTTATTCGAGGGAATTGCTTGATGATCAACCAAAGAAAGAAATTACTGGACTGCCATTTAGTGAAGAGGGCTATAACAAGGCCATAGATATTTTGAAGAAAAAATATGGAAACACTTCTGAAATAATACAAGCCCATGGTAGAGAAATTTTGAAATTACCCACTATTACTACAGTTAATTTGAAGCAAATCCACGGGTTTTATCGTTCTGTAAATGTCAGTGTTAACTCGTTGAAAACTTTAGAGAAACTAGACACTGCAGAGATTTTAGTCCTAGAAACACTGGAAAAGTCAGGGCCAATCAAGGCTGACCTTATTCGTACTGATCCAAATTGGCAAAGTTGGGGTTTTGAGAAATTACTTGAAGCCCTACACATTAAGAAACCCAGAGAAAGATGACACCCCTAATCGGACATTTGGGGGTTCTAGGTGAAGCGAGCAATTTAATCGAAAAGAAAGGCATTACCATTCAATTCAGAAAAAGCCAAACATTGTACTGGAGGTGGTCATGGCACGGCAACATGCAAGAGTAAGAACTGTGCTAAATGTGGCAGTCAACATGACACTTCACTTTGTTCAACGGAGCAACCCAAATTACCCTATATGATTGGTTCAGCTAAAGAGACTATACACCCTACATTGGTAGTGATTTCAAATGAGCAGAAATTCAGGGCTATGCAACTTACGGGAGCTGGGAGCTCGTTTGCTTCTTCAACATTTATCAAACATCTGGGAATGAAACCATCGCGCTGGGAATGGAAAAGCATTGAAACCATGACAACAACAGTATGTCAGAAGATACCTATTTATGATGTCAAGTTATTATCTACTGATGGTAAAGAAGAGCTAGCTGTTTCGTTGACTATGTTGGACAAACCTGTTATCACAACTTTAAGCAATCCTAAAATTGAAGAGTTGAAGAAGCAGTTTCCACATTTAAGGGGACTATGTTTCGACAATGAAGATGACCGTGAGCAACATCCAATTCACCTGATCCTTGGAGTCGGTGACTTAGCACGGATAAAGACGTCTACATGCCGAGTCGGAGATGTCAATCAACCTGTTGCAGAGAAGACAACTTTTGGTTGGACGGTGATGGGTCCTGGAAAGAATGAGTCACACATTAGTTATTTCGCCAAAACATTACAAGAAGATTATGAGAAGCTCTGCAACTTGGATGTGCTGGGGTTACATGAAACTACTAAAATGTGCATAGTCTACAATGCCTCCTCTAGTGAAACTGCTTCTCTTAAAGATTGTCTTGAGACAGGCCCACCGTCTCTTGCACAACGTCGTCGTGAGAAATCGTTTGTGTCCAATTGGGTTGACTGCTGATGTGAAACAAGCCCTTCCACCAAATATGGATCGAATCTAAAGATCGTGACATCTTCCAGTTTTTCTGGATTTCTGACCTGGATCACAAGGACAGTGTGACACTCCGCTTTGCCAGAGTTCCTTTTGGTTGTGTTTCTAGTCCGCTTTTGCTTGGGGCAATATTGCAAGAACATTTGAACACTTTGGAACAGAACTACCCAGAAACTGTAGCTGAATTAAGAAATGATCTTTATGTTGATGATGTAATTAGTGGTGGCACATGCGAGCAAGAGGTGACGAAGGTCAAAGAGGAAGCCAAAGAGATCTTTCACCAGGGAGGCTTCACACTTCACAAGTGGCATTGCTTTGTAGCCAGTTTAGAAGAACCAGAGAACAATGACTCAGAACAAACATACGAGAAAGAAAGTCTCGGAACGAAGACTGGCGAAGCGAAAATTTTGGGATTGAAATGGAACAAACTAAAGGACACTTTAGCTGTTGATTTTACCAGTTGCAAGGCAACACAGGAATACACAAAGAGAGGAATCTTGAGGGCTATGGCAAAGGTTTACGATCCTTTGGGGCTGGTATCTCCTGTCATGTTGGAAGCGAAACATCTCTATCGAATCGTCTGCGAGAAAAACTTACCATGGGATGCACACCTGGAAAAGGAAATGGAATTTATTTGGCACCAGTGGCTAAAGAAATTGACTGATAAAATAACTGTTCCTCGAAGCATAGTAAGTCTTCAGCTTCCATTAACAGAAGTGAAACTGCACGGATTTGGTGATGCCAGCAGAAAGGGATGCTGTGCGGCAATCTACGGTGTCGTTAAGTGAGGGGAATATACAAGTCAAGGTCTTCTGGCATCTAAGTCAAGGATTGCAAAGAAAGAATTGACAATCCCGAGACTCGAATTAGTGGGTGCACACATGGTGGCCAATCTTCTGCAGAACGTTCGAACAGCATTGGAAGGATATAACATCGCTGGCATGTTTGCTTGGTTGGACAGTATGGTTGTTCTATGTTGAATAATGAGCACTAACAGAGAATGGAAGCAGTTTGTCACAAACAGAATTGTTAAGATTCGGCAAAAATAAAACCTACAGTGGAAGTATTGTCCTACAGCAGAGAACCCAGCAGATATTGGGAGTAGAGGTTGTAAAGCAGATAATTTTGGAGACTTGTGGTGGAAAGGACCAGACTGGTTAGCAAACAAAGCTGACTGGCCCGAAGGGAGCAGTGAACCCAACCAAACAAAAGAGGTGACTGATGAAGAAAAGGTTGTTAAACAGTTAAGTTTTGTTGTGATAGACGGTGAAGTGAACAGGATTCAAGATTTGTTGAATAAGTTTACGTTGTGGAAAGTAATCCGAGTAGTTGCATGGATATGAACGTTCATTAATAACTGCCGTTCGAAGTTAAGGAGAAGCAACTCTCTAGTAACACATGAAACTCAAGAAGTGAAAATGTTAGAAAACGACTATGAGGATATTTCAAAATGACTTGGACTTACACCTGACAAGGAAGGGATTCTTCGTTGCCGAGGACGGGTTACGGGGGAGGATCCAGTCTATATACTGACGAACAGTAAGCTAGCACGTTTAATTATTGAAGATGCACACGAACGTACATTGCACGGGGGAGTGACGTCGACAATGGCGAAGATATGAGTGCGATGGTGGATAGAGAGGTTAAGAAGTATTATCAACAAATGTTACAAGTGTTTACGTTACAGAGCACAACCCTTTGCTGCACCACCCACAGCGCCACTCCCAGAGTTTAGAACACAAGGAGATCGAGCTTTTCAAACTGTCGGCGTAGACTTTGCTGGTCCACTTGAGTACAAGGTATCCAAGAATAAACAAGGGAAAGCTTATGTGGTTTTGTACACATGTGCGACTTCAAGAGCCGTACATGTACATCTATTACCTCATTTGACTGCAGACGAATTTAAGAGAAGTTCAGGAGAGTTCATTGCCAGAAGAGGGCTACCCACCAGAATAGTAAGCGACAATGGAAAAACATTTGTAGCAACAGCGAAATGGCTGAACAAACTTAAACGGAACCATAAAGTGAACAATTTCCTTGCTAGAAGAAATATTCTTTGGGTGTTCAACTTAGCCAGAAGTCTGTGGTGGGGTGGCTTTTTTGAATGTATGGTGGGATTAATGAAAGTTGCATTGAGAAAAGCTGTCGGCAGAGCAAATCTAACCTTTGATCAACTGAAGGAAGTACTTATGGATGTTGAAGTTCAATTGAATAATCGCCCTTTGGGATATATGGAGGAAGATATCGAGTCCTTACCGCTTACACCAAACACTTAAAACGTCTGAAATTAAGATTGGGGAAATTGTGTTGATTAAAGGGGAAGAGAAAGATCGAGGACAACGGAAGATAGGTGTTATCCAAGAGTTTGTAAAGGGAAGAGACGGTGTCATCAGAGGAGCGAAATTGAAAACTGTTAATGGAGTTCGTGAACGTCCATTGCAATTACTTTACCCGATGGAATTGTGTGTTTCAAGGAATGCTGACAAGAAAGTGATGAAACAGTTAAACCCGAAAGCTGAAGAGTTCCAACCAGGAAACAAAAGAGCAGCAAAAACAAATGCTAAAACTGTCATTTCATATACATTAATTAGCCAAAACTGTCCAAGATGATGAGTTAGTGGTTTCTTAGACATTTAGATTGTCTAAGAAAGGAGGAGGGTGTCATGAACTTAATATAGTAACATTAATATTATAATTTATATTGACATTAACTAAGTAATTAAGAAACTGTTTAGGTAAGCACTTTGGTTTTTAGGCTGTAAACAGAGAGGCGAGGTGTGTTAAAATATGTTTTAAAACTGGTTTATTTGTGTGGTCTTTTAATAATAATAATAATACGAATTATTTATATAGCTCCAATTCCCTAAAGTCCATTAGCACTTTACAAGATATGTAACCTAACTAAGAACTAAGAGGAAATCTTACAAAGTAACTAATTAAAAACTATGCTAAAAAGATGTGTCTTAAGAAGTTTCTTAAAAATTTCAATATTATGACAGTTCCGTATTCTGTCTGGTAATGCATTCCACAATGTTGGAGCTGAAACAGAAAACGCTCTAAAACCATATGTACGTAGATTAAAATTAGTTGTATCAACAAGGTTCTTTGAGGATGATCTTAACGTTCTTTTTGGTTCATATGGTTTAACTAATTCTTTTAAATACAATGGTGCCATGTCATGCAAACACTTGAAAGTTAAGAGAATAATTTTAAAATTGATTCGTTGTTCCACAGGCAACCAATGCAATTCCCTCAAAATTGGTGAGATATGATCATATCGTTTAGATAAGTTTACCAATCTAGCCGCTGAATTTTTCACACTTTGAAGTTTTTGGATCAGCCGCTTAGGTAGTCCATAGTAAGAAGAGTTACCATAGTCAAGCCGTGATGTTATAAATGCATGAACTAGAGTTGTAGCTGCTGACTTAGACAAGTATTTCCTTGTCCTTCTAATGTTTCGCAGATGATAGAATCCTGACTTGCATACTTCTGTAATATGTTGCTCCATGGACATACCACAATCGAAAAGCATACCAATATTTCGAACATAGTTCGACGGTGTGACTACCTCACTACACAACGAAACCGAAAAAATAGGTGGTTGAGGAAGGTGTTGAGCACTGAGAACTAACAGCTCAGTTTTGTCTCTTCATTTTTAACATATTTGACGTCATCCATGCATCAATGTCAGAGACACATGGTCTTTTCATACTACATTCCCCACAACGTCATTTGTGAGGTGTGTTCTGTACAAACTACCAGGATTCGTAATACAATATCCTTGTTTAGCTTACTTATAACTTAGCTATGGGCCTTTCAAGTTTTCCTGTCCACATGATGGGATGTTTCAGTACCTTGCTCATTTTTACAGGTATTTGAACATTTCTAAATGCAAAATATGATACTTTGATCATGACATTGTATCAATTTGGCTGCCCCTGGCTGATGAGAATTTCTTACCACTCATCACCAGAGTAGCAAGTGCTCTTTTTCTCACCCACCTACCTGGTAATCTTAAAGAAAAAGGTGCAAATGTCTGGGGCTAGCCTTTTGAGGGAATGCTTAATGCCAAAAATTGCTGATACATAAATCAGTCAAATAGCATAGTTTCAGGAAATAGCCATATCCCCACCACCTACCCTGCCACAGAAGAGATTGGAAATTCTAGAGGATAGGGGGTGTCATTGCATCAAGATTTCCAGTGGAGGGTATTAATTCAAATACAACCAATATCAAGTGCTGGTCCTGCATGTTTTCTTCTAGCATTTTTTCCTTATAAGGTTCACATAAACAACAACATTCATCGGGTTTTACCACAAAGGGCAGGACACAGGTACCAGATTTACTCCTATGGACTATTAATACATTAAAGTATATATAATTGAAGCATACACTATATCAATTAAATTAAATTGAAGTATATTTCCCACAACTTTGTGCAAAATAATATGTTTTCTTATGCAAGTCCAAGTTCCAATTTAGCAACACAGTCATCTTTAAGCCATCTCAATATTTTATAAGGAGGCCAGTAACCATTTGTTTTGTTTTACATGGCCATCGCATGTTTGTTTTATGTCACAAATATAACCAAAACGTAAATAAATACAATCCAAAGCGTTTAAACATACCAGGTGTTAGTTTGAGGTTTCCCCAGACAATCTAGCAGACAGTGTTTGCTGCTCTTGCTCTCTTTCAGTTATAGTACTTTTCATACATTATGTTTCTTCAGTGGCAAGAAATTCATATCATAGGCCTCTCACAAAACCACACTTACCTCCATATTTACCCCACTATCACAAGAAACGTCTTTGGCAAAAGAGAGTTCGCAAGATGATTGTGTTGCAAAATTGGTGCTGTGGCTTTTTTCAGAAGACATCATTTTGAACAAAAAAACAGCCTAGTGTAAGCCTTTGATAATGTAATTTCTCTCGAGTAAATGACATCACATCCGGCTAAGAAATCGACATCTCACTAATTGATAATTGAGTACCATTACTGAGTTATCGGCCGAAAAATTTGCATGTTTGCATTGAAAAAAGGCAGAAAGAAATGGAATTGGACACTGATATTTGGTAACTTTGTTTATCTACTGATATACTTTCTGAATATACAATAAAAAGACAGCACAATTTTCCATTGCAGTGGCACTTTAATTAACGGACTTGTTGACTAAGCCATTAGGAAAAACGTTTCAACACTTTAGAGATAGGAGTTGGAAACAATCTTTAGTTTAATATTGAACGTTTAATGAACATGTTATATATATATTACAGTTCATACTTTTCAAAAGGGAGTTTCCCGAAGAAAGACCCTGGATACGAGGTTGCAGCACACCCAGTCGTAGTACCAGTACAACCAGTCATAGTACCAGCACAACCAGTCGTAATACCAGCTCAACCAGCCATAGTACTAGCTCAAACAGTCGTAGTACCTGTGGTAGATTTTTGTTTGATCCCCACAATAAGAGCAAATTACCCAGTCGTAGTACCAGTACAACCAGTCATAGTACCAGCACAACCAGCCGTAGTACTAGCTCAAACAGTCATAGTACCTGTGGTAGATTTTTGTTTGATCCCCACAATAAGAGCAAATTACGCATTATATATTGTATTTTGTATTATATTCCTTCCTTTCCAAAATCGCTCAGTTACATATATTCCCAATAACAACATTCCTTTTATCTAGCATACCTGTCAATCAATACCATATATGGTAGTTGCCTCATCTCATAAATTTAACTATTAATTATGTAATGTCAACCTTTTCCCGACATACCAGCTCAACCAGCTGTATTACCAGCACAACCAGTTATATTACCAGCCAGAACCAGTCATAGTATCAGCTCAATCAGCCGTATTACCAGCTCAATCAGCCGTATTACCAGCTCAACCAGACGTAGTACCAGCTCAACCAGACGTAGTACCAGCTCAAGCAGACGTAGTACCAGCTCAAGCAGACGGAGTACCAGCTCAACCAGATGTAGTAGCAGCTCAACCAGTCGTAGTACCAGCTCAACCAGTCGTAGTACCAGCACACCCAGTCATAGTATCAGCATAACCAGCCATAGTATCAGCACAACCAGCCATATTGCCAGCACAACCAGTCATAGTACTAGGTGAACCAGCCATATTACCAGCTGAACCAGTCGTATCATCAAAAAGAAAAATTCAGCATGGCCTTGGTGAGTGGTGTGTAGGAATGATTGTGACACTGGCTGGATAATAATTGGCACAAAAACCTGGAGGTCACCGGTTCAAATCCGGTCCACAGTCAACAGTTTTCCCTTTACACTATATATATATGTATATGTATACGTCATCCTCGTTTCCAGGGCTTCTCGGGTGCCTGTGTTGCCATAAGCCTAGGGACAACCAAGGCAGAAGTGATTTGATTGGTCGTTAGAAATAGAGTGAAGTATGAAAAATGTATTCATCAAGTGGATGTTTATATTCAGCAATATGGCTGCCTTCAAGGAGTGCATGTTCGAACTACAAAACAAATATTTACGACAAAATGGTAACAGTTATCAAATTAGTTTAACAGGCCGTTTTTATCTAATTCTCGACACTTCCCAAAATGCTTATTCAAGTTTAAACGCAGCTCTCTCAGTAACCCGGGGGGATAAGCACGGATTTTAATATTTCACTAGTGTTAAAACCCCGGCTTAAAATTGTTGCTCAATTGTTAAATTACCCGGGTGGCTGAGTCGAAATTCTTTCTAATTTTACCAAGCTATAAAGTATTGCATTCATGAATCTGCATTTCTGTCAAGTACCAGAAAGATGTAAGATGTATGCCACATATTTCTCACATTTGATTATTTTGATTATTTTAATTATTGACATTATTGACACTCCCCTGAAGGGGCTTTTCAGTGACAAAAATTACAAACACATAAACTTACTGTATTATTACTACATATAGTCCTAATTAATTTTATTGAAACACATTACTAGCAAACAAGGACAATTTCACAAAAACTGCGACAGCAACATCAACAACAACAAGAACCACAACGACAGCGATGATGATAACACAACAACAGTAACATCGACAACGCTTATTGATTAACTACTGACAAACAAGTACTTAATAACTATCCTGGTATTGTTGAACACTTATGTCTTAGTTTTAACTTAAAGTTTGAAATAGAATTGCACCGACTAAAGTCAGGGCCAATGTTGTTCCAAAGAGTGACAGTTCGATAATGGAATGTTCTTTGTCCAGCAGCTGTTTTGTACAATGGAACATCCAGACTTCGTACATTTCGTGTCTCACGAGAGCTCATTTCACCTCTGGTTATGAACTGCGACGACAAGTAGTTGGGGGCACAATTTTTCATGCATTTGAAGGCCAGTAGAGCATCACGATAGTAGAGATGCAATT